CGCTTTAATAAAGTAGCCCGAATTTTTTTGCCGAAGAACAAGGACAATACAAATATTTTAGTTTCTGACAGAAAGCCTCCAACATTTCTAATCAGTAAAAGTGTTCGTGAGAAAATTCAGACTTTTTTTGAAAAAGATGACGTTAGTAGAATGTGTCCTGGTAAAAAAGACTGTGCCAAAGGAGGCAAACAAAAGCGTTTGCTTTTAGATAGTGTAAAAAATTTACACGCTAAATTTGTCACTGAAACGGCAATTAAATTGTCCTATGCTTCTCTTCTAAGAGCAAAGCCATATTGGGTTGTGCCTCCCAAACAAAAAGATCGCGACACTTGCTTATGCGTAAAACATGAAAATTTTCAGTTCAAACTAAACAAGCTCTACAGATTGGGTGAACTGAAATACAATTCTATATCAAAATTGATCCAAGCATACAGCTGTGACGGTGCCTCGTACGATTGTATGTTTGGTATATGTTTGACTTGCGGAAAAATTGAAATGGACCCCGGCAGCAATAAAGATACAGTAGATTATTGTCAGTGGAAAGTAACAAAAGAAGACAGAATAATTAAAGGAGAGACAAAAGTTGTAAAGATTACTAAAAAAGTCACTGTTACAAGCTCAGTGAAAGATCTAAAAAAATCCATAGCTGAAGATATTTTCACATGAAAAAACATGTTTATGGTATAAACGAAAACTTTAAGGCAAAACGAGAAGTTCAAGATGCATTAGATGAGACCCAGATTATGGTACAAATTGATTTTGCTGAAAATTATATGACTAAATATGAGAAAGGCCAACTTACCATTCACACAGGCGTCTTTTACTCGAAAAATAATGATTTGCTACAGACTGGCACGTTCGCAACTGTAAGCAATAATTTTGACCATCAGGCCCATGCTGTTGGGGGTCACTTAAAGCCCATTCTACAAAAACTTTTAAGTACAAGAAAAGGTGTCCATACTCTACATATGTTTTCAGATGGTCCTACGTCACAATATCGAAACCGTACAAACATTTATATATGGATAAAAACTCTGATAGACCATTTTCCAAAAATTACATCGGCAACTTGGACTTACAGCGAGCCTGGACACGGTAAAGGGCCTATGGATGGTGTAGGGGGCTTACTAAAGAAAAGAGCTGATGATTACGTTTTAAAAGGAAAAGATGTTCAAACAGCTGCAGATTTTATCAATTTGTTTGAAAAGTCAACGGTTTTAGTTCAAGAAGTTACCAACGACAAAATCGTAGCTGTAAAGAACTCAGTGCCTAAAAAATTGGATGCCATACCTGGTATAATGAATGTAACTAAGATAACGTGGCAGAAAGCATCGGACGTATCGATATCGTTGTATCAGCACGTGAAATTTTTGAAGAAAGTAAAATTGGATACTTTTGCAAGGACTATCCAAAATAAAAAAGCAGAAGTTCCTATAGACATGGGCGTTTCACAAGAACTACTGTCTTTTAAATTTAATAGAGCAAGCATTTACCATGATGTTTATGGTTTCAGCAGTTCAGATGAAAATTTGCAAACGATTTCGGACCGACTCCATAAACGTGATAACGAACTTCATGCTGGTACATCCTACGGCCAAGATTTGGAGAATGTACTTCCTAACTTAATTTGCCCTACGACATTTTTGCTCATAAACGTACCAAACAAAATCAAAAACGTTACATATAGATACGCTGCAATTGCAAACACCTCAGTTGATGAAGGAGGTGAAGTTAAAGTTACCTTTTTAAGTTGTCAGCGTAATTCGGCCAAGATGTTTAAAATTGAACAAAAGAACGTTTCGTATATTGCTTTTGACCAAATAGTAAAAATTTTACCGACCCCTCAATTGCATAAAAAAGGCAGATGTGATTTTTATTGTTTTCAAGAAGACATTGACATTTTTGAGAAGTAAATAAGTACTTTTTGCTTCCTATAAATATATTTACTTTTAATTAATTACCCATTTAAGAATTTTGTTTGTTTATAATAAATATATAAAAAATACTGTGTAATACTGTAATACTTTTGATCTCTATTAGTTTTATTTGTATGGTGCAATTGACAAAAGTGTTTTATAGTTATACAATAAAGGCTTGATTTTGCTGAGATGTGTATTATTTGTGCCATTTAACATTACAATCTTAACTGTTAATCAAAGTTAAAGAGCTCAGTCTAAGGGAATGATAACCAATGTGTATCAATAAATATTGTAGTTAACACATTTTTGCTTAGCATGTTAAGTAAGTTTAGTGCACTAAACTTACTTAACATGTTCATCCATCAAGCTCTCCAATTGTGAGTTAGAAAACGCCGTCGTCATTCAGGGAACATCACTGTCATTTACGAGAATGATGAAAAAAACAAATAATTCACTATTTACATATCGTTTAAAATTTCTATAAAGATAAATAAATATTTTACCAACTTAAAACTTCTATATGACTTAAATACTTAGCCCCTTATGATAAAAAAACAAATTAAAGTTAGGTACATCTTTATCAACTATTTCCGGCCTAATAAAATTAACTTTATACAAATCCATACAGAACATTTTAATCTCATTTTCTTTGATTAATAATTATTATTGCATATTTTACAATTTTAAATAACCAATATATTGATACATTCTAAACATTATATTTTTTTAATTATTAAAAAACGTTTCCAAAATGACTAATATTTGTCTCATACTCACGATTTTATGCAATTACTTTAAAAAAATAACTTTTTTGCTTGGCCATTTTCAAACTAATTTTAGGACATATGGTGCTCAATTTGTAAATTAAAAGTAATGCTTAAACATAAGTTTTTTTTTTATTTCATTTGGAATCTGAAAATGCTCACCTCTCTGATTTTGACCCATAAGCAGAATATCCTTTGATGCAAACAATCTTGATTTGGACTTTTTTAATTGCTCATTGGACGTATTCAAGAAACAATGTAATTATAAAATTAATTGTTATCCATTCTAATTGTAGACATTTGAATGTATTTTTTTGTAAGTGGTTTAATACCGTCAATAAAGTTATTATTATTATTATTAATTTAAAATAACTTATTTTTTATAATATTTTTTTCTTAAATAAATTATAGTCGCAGTTTAATTAAAAATGTATACATAGATATACATAGGTAGGTATACATAGATATACATAGATATATCTTTGTATCTTAACACACCTAGTTACTTAGAATTTGTAACTAGTTACAGTTATAGTTACTAGATTGGGATAAGTAACGAGTTACACAAACAGGTACATAAAAAGTATCTAGATACTGTATCTAGTTACTTGTAACTAGATACGTTACAACACTGATTGTAATATATAAATTGGCTAAAGAAAGTTTTATACCGCAACTAGCCAAAAAAGTGTGTCAGAAAAAGGCTGACGAAAACACTATAAAAATTCTTTTTTTCTTTTCTTTTGGCATTTTTTTTTATTTTAATATTGGTTATGTATACTATTTTCTTCTTCTTCTTTCTTCCAGACTATATTCCCTTCGAACAATTCTCGTAATTTTTTTTTAACCAAAGTGAAAGTTACGACTTGACGTTCAATCGACGTAAATATACGTCGAACAATGACTTCGGATACAAAGTTATTATCCGACCGCAATTTTCACTTAAAGCGACGTCGAACATATATGTACTATAGTGCAAGTTTAGTAGGAAGTCAGAAAAATGTTAATTGGGTGTATGTATGCGGCGACAACTTGCCAGCGTATTAAGTGGAGATGCTGATAATGAAGCGTTTCTCTCTGACGTATATTTACGTCGATAATGACGCGTTTCTTTCTGCCTCACTCTAACGGCCTCACTCTAACTTCGACTCGAAATCTCATTTTAAATCGAATGTGGCGCCTCGTAGTTTTCATTTTCGATTTAGGGGTTATTTTAAATACATTAGACCACGCCTCTTCCCCACTTCTTCACTCAACGCTTATACCATATCCAAAGTACACTCTCAGGGTGGCGATTCTCGAGTTAAGAGAACGCTATTCTCATAGGAGAAGAGGGCGTTTCTCTCAAGTTTTGACAGGCTGCATTATTGAATTTAAGATAAGTTAGTGCGTTCTTCGGTTTCGTCCCTGATGGAGTTCGTTATTGCTCTATGAAAAAGTAAGTGAAATATAAGTGACTTTGCGACCCAGGATCCCCTCGAGGGACGAGATCGGATTCCCAGGGTAGAAATACAATGGCTTTAATCGTATATTATATCACGAGAACTATGAATCAAAAAGAAAAATCAAATAAAAAACTTACTGAGCATAGTTTGACAGATTAAATATTATTTCTCGAATTAAAGGAAACTATTTGACAATTCATAAAATCTGACGTATGTGTCAAAATTTATAAATATTTTTTTAAAGAAAATTCCATTAATTTAAGGTATGTAATAAGTAATAATTGATATTTCGTAAACTAGATAACTTATTTTTTATTGTTTTTTAAAAAATGTTTGTTAAAACTTGTAAATAACATCATAAAATCGTAAACAAAAATTCAATATGGAGGCTAAAATTTAATCGCTGTTCTAGTGATTTAATCTCTTATTTAAACGAAATTTATTCGAAAATTCAAGGCTTTTGATTGGTTCATATTATAATGAGGGAAATAATCAGAAATAAGTATATAAATAAATGAAAATATTCGAAAAAAGAAACGGATGAATTAAGATTGAAATATTTGAAGAAATCCTGTGCATATAGCCTATGTGGTGCATGGTTGAAGAAAATTGAACATGGTGATATAAAAAATTGATATAACCAGTAGATAAATGATTCAAGGGATGAGAAACTCAGACTCTCTTAAATGAGACCCTTGATCAGTAAAGAAAATTTAAAAAATATAATGTGCTGGCCAAATAGTGTTTAAGTACGCTAAGGCCATTAAATCTAAAGAAGAAGAAGAAGAAGAAGAAAGTACACGCTCTTTTCGAACGCACTCTTGGAGTGTATCCAGAGTCAAGATACATACACCTTATCCAGAGTGCACTCTTGCGAGTTTTCGAACGCGCTCCACCACTGTATAGGTAGCGCATGCGTGATACGCGAGTAATGGTTACTGGTGACACAAATAAACAAAGTAAGATGAAACATTTGTTTTAAATTTGTGTGGTTTATTATTGTGAATCCTATCAATAGGTATTAACATTACAATGGCCACAATGATGTACCCTACACTAACAAAGTCGCAAAGTATGCGTTCTAAACGTAAATCGGCTGTGGAATTATTAGCTGAAAGTAAACCGTTTTATGTCAAATCTGAAATAGTTAGAGACTCAACACAAGTGCTTCCTGCTAGACCAGTTTCAAATTTTGGATCCTATGGTACATATCAACGAAGCAAATCTATAAATGTTGCAGGACATGGAACCAATTATAGGCCAACTACTTTTTCACAATGTAAGTAAAAAATATGTTTTTTAATCATTTTAATTATTTTAAATATAAAAAAAATCCACAGCTCATAAAAGTATATCCCTGCTTAAAATACCCCATAGTGACCCTGTTCAAACCGATAGATATTTGTATCGGAATGTATGGTGTTTCTATAGGGTGTATCGGTATGTATAGGACCCATAGTTGGGATTTATGGTTGTTCTATAGGGATATCCACCCTTGATTTATTTGCTATTGGTTTCAATGGGGAAAATACACATAAATGTAGAAATCAGTTTTTCCCCCATAGGACCCCATAAGGACCCCATAGGGATATCCTTCATTGAGTTATTTGCTATTGGTCTCAATAGGGAAAATGTAAAAGTTATGGTGTGCCTATAGGTAATTTCCTATACATTTTCTATCGGGCCGTATCTGGAAAAAACCATGGACAAATGAACATATTGAATCCGGGGTAGCGCCCAATAGATTATTTTATGTAGGTCTCTATGGGGTATTTTAAGCAGGGATTAGTTTAAATAGAATTTTATTCTATTCTTTTTAAAAAGCATTCATTATAAATGAATTATTTTTTAGTTATGGGCATTATATACTACAATTTGATGTGGCCCACCTAAGATAGCCCAGGTGATTTATAAAGCCAGTGTCAGTTTTTAGACCAATTTTTGTTATTTAAAAGAAAAAATGGGTCCAGAACACTAAAGGCTGAGCCTATAGTGTTCTGGACCTGTTAGTTCTTTCAAATAACAAAAATAATATAGCACCCTGAGTTATAAAAAAATATATCATTTGAAAATGGGCTTTAAATAGTAATATGAAAAACAAAAATTTTTCTTTAGTTTAAATAAAAATTAAATAAGTTTTTTGAAATTGTCAATTTAATATACAATTTTTAAATCAGAAGAAAACTAGAGGTTTATTTAAAAACAAAAAAAGGTCAATAATTCACAAAAGCTGAAATAAAACATTTAGGTATTCAAAAAAAGTGAGTCTCAATCATTATCCATTTTGAGTAGAAACTGAATTCTAACCTATACCTATACCAAGCAAAGTCATAAAACAAAACACAATTTTAAACATAATTATATAAAACTAAACAAAATTTACTTTTCACCAGTGGCGGCTGGTGGATTTTGGGTACACCGATATTTCAGTTATAATAATAATTATAAAAATCTTTATTTCCAATCAAGTTATAAGACATGGGACTCAAACCAAATTTATATGAGTTTATAATGACAAAGTCAAACTATATTTTTTACATTTAATAAATATTTACATGTTTTAAAATGTGCTCCGTTGGACAATTCCTGAATAAGAAGTGTCAAAAACTGATGGAATGTGATATTTTATTACAAAATATCGAAGAACCTAGTACAGATGTTCAAACTCTTTTAAAATATATAAGAGCAAATTATAATTTTCAAAAATATGTGTATAAATATTTTGTAATTTACTTTACCTTTAATTAACCAGTTTCTGATTTCATTGACGAAATATTATCAGCAAATTGCTGACAGCAATAAGTAGATTCTTTAAAAAAGCATCAATATATTTCAAAACCTCAGGCAAAATATGCAACTTTAAAAAAATAATTTGCTTCTCAATGCTTCCCAAGGTGATTTTGCTGAAAATTTCTCCTCCGTTGTACAGGGTGATCCCCTATAATGTCGCCCCCCTTTAACTTTTTTATTTAAAAGTGTGGTTATGTAGGTACTAAAAAATACTTTTTTTCTACGTATATAAAGAAAATTGGAAAATTGATCAGTATACAGGGAAAAACAAAAAGTTTATTTTTTTTCAATGGATCACCCAATACAGTGCTTGCAAATCCAAATCCGACCGGGCTGAAAATGACGACTGTTCAATACAGCGCTGCCAACTAAAAAAACGGTTTTTTCCCCACATCATGTGGTGAAATTCCCCACATCTTCCTCAAATTCCCCACACATACTGAAAAACATAGATAAAGTTTTTATGTGCTGAAAAACAAATAACTGAATCGATTTTTTGTATTTTTTGTTTAAAGTTTTTAGTCTAATTTAATTAATCTATACGTACTTATTTAAAAATAATTCTTAATTATTAAGTACGACATTACTTCGGTAAGTAGTTAAATTACGGAGGTTCTTAAGGTTTTTATAGGAAAAAAAATCAATAATCAAAATTCATTTTTATTAGGTATTTTGTGACCAAATATTGGAGTAATACATTTTTTTGCTTGGTTCAAATTGCACTATGCCTCCAGACTTTAAAATTCCCTGCTTGCTGTAGATTAAGGCTGCTATCGTATCCGTGTTTATTGAATTTCGGTTGTTCGTTTTTATATTATGTAGTGTACTAAACTGCCTTTCTACACTTGCATTGGAAAATGGAAGTACAAGAAAAAAGCGTATTTCAGTTTGCAAATTTGTAAAAAGAGACATACCAGCTGCATTCTTTAAAGAAAATACAGCTTCCCAGTATTTTTCCACAGCCTGATTTTTGTTGATTTCAAATTTTTCAAAATTTAAAAGAGCATGCTGTTGCCACTCATGATCTAATTGTTGTGAGTCGAGGAATTAATTTAAAATCGGAAATTTTTTCAAAATAGGGATCAACAACATCTATTAAACTAAAAACATCGTCTGAAAAATCAAATCTTTTTTTTATTTGCCCAGTCAACTCTATATAAAAACTAAGGCAGGTTTTCAAAAATAATTCAATGTCATTATCTTGCTGATTTTGCATGTTCTGTTTTAATTGTTCCAATGATTCAGTGGCTGTTATCCCTATGTACACTTGTTTTAGGGGTACAAAATGTCAGGGATTTGTATGGTCTAAAGTAAATACATTATTATTTCGAATATATTGCATATTCAAAAAATTACTGCAAATATCTTTTAACAGTTTTTCAGTCTCTGGCTTTAGGTTATGTAAGAGGGGAGATTCTGACTGAAATAAAGTGTTATATTCTGTCAAAATACCCAACGTATACGACATAAACTCCAAGTACATTTTCGTAAACTTGTTTGTCATGGTATGTAACATATCATCATTTGTTCTTGATGGATCTTCTACGCACAAAACACGCAGATAGGCTTCTAGAGCATCATATTGCTCTAGCACCCTATCAACACATGCTTTTAAAGATAGCCACCTTGTTATTGCTGGAGATAATATCTTGTGAACTGCTACCTTAAAAAACAATTGAAACTCTCGAAACTTCTCCTGTCTACTAAAGCTTCTTCCAAAATGAGATCCTATATTCCGAAGCAGATCTTCTACAGATCTAGGAAGTTTACGGCAGGCATATGAACTGGCCAGATGAATGGAATGACATGAGCATTTAATAGACACAGAATGGGGTAAATCCTTTTTTAGAAGTAAATAGACTGAATTATACTCCCCAAACATGACATTGCATGTATCGGCAGAGAAGCCTATTAAATTATCAAAGGGAATATTTTTGGAGATAATGGAATTCTTAACTGCTGCATAAATATCAGCTGCTTTTCCAGAACCTAACTCAAATAAATCAAAAAATTCTGTGACCACCTTAGTATCATTATAACAAAAGTAAATAATTACCAGACAGCACTGTTTAATACTTCCCCTGTCTGTGGTTTCATCCACTATAAAGGAAAAGAAATTTCCGGGTTTTCTTATTTTGGAAAAGAGCTGCTCTCTAAAATTAACTCCCAATCCCTGTTTTAGCATAGCAGTGGCTTTTGTTCTCTTTAAACTAATGTTTTTGGCTATTTTGGAGTCAGGGAACAAATTTTCAAGAAGAGGACTTTCATTTAGAGGGTTATTAACAACCATATCAGTAATTTTCGTATTACTTGCAATGCTACTAATTTTTTTCTTAAGCCTTAATGAAAGAGAGTGACGTTTTATATCGTTTCTATGTGCTATTATGTCCATCTTGCATACTTCACAATATGCATACTCATTTCCATTTCTAATAACTTGTGACTTTGATAGCCAGCCCTTAAATTCCTTAACTTGAATCCAAAAAGTACAAAATTTTGTATTTCGAGGACCTTTCATTTCTCCTTTTTGTTTTTTCTTTATTCTCGAATTTTTCGCGGTTCTAACCTAAAAAAATTAAACATACAATTACCAAGTTTATTTAAATTATTAGATACAAAATAACTATAGTTCTAAGGAACTATGGATATTTAAAAAAATATACCTCTGTTAATGGTAATTGCTGCTCTTCTCCAATGTCTTTTTCAAACACATCTTCAACTTCCTGGTCATCGATAAAGTCATCATTTTCGCTTTCGCTTTTCTCGTCTTCACCAAGTTGCTGGCCTTGGTTTCTTTGAACTCCACTGGATAATGGTTGTTCACAAGACTGCTACATTAAAATTAAAATTAATTATATTAAATTTTTAAATTTAAAACTTTACTTTTACCTCGTCATTGGGAGGAACTTTAATTAGCCATCTATTCATCATGTACCTAGTTATTTATAACCGAACCTTGAAAATTTGAATATTTAAAACCATAGACCCATTAATAAAACACATTTGATTTAACAGATGATCGGTTTTTATTTGTCACTGCTGTCATTGACAATGACTCAACTGTAACATGGCCGCGATCATGGAGCCTACACAAGGAGCCCGAACTTAATAGGGAAAATTGACAAAACCTGTCCACTAAATTGCATAAATTAAGTCTTTTTTTTTCACCACCAGCGGCGCTGTTTGTCAATGCGTCCGTATGACGTGAAAATAGTATCAAAAATACATGTGAAGTAAGCAAGTAATTTTGACAACTGATTTGCAATAATGTTTTGACGTACGAATCGTTTTGTTATTTATGGCTGTACCTGGTAGGTAGATTCTAATAAATAGGTTTTGGTTGTGAAATATAAGTGATTCTTTATAATCTGTGAAGTGATTTTACGACTCTGTAGAAGCAAAATAAATAGGTTTTGGTTGTGAAATATAAGTGATTCTTTATAATCTGTGAAGTGATTTTACGACTCTGGAGAGGCAAAATTAGATTTCCAGGTTAGAAATACACCGCTATTTAATAATTTAAATTTAATTTAAATAAAAAAGTATGTATAAAATGAGTAAACAGCATATTTAATAATTTCCACCTTTATTTGTTTATATTGAACTTTTATTTAAGCCATCTACCTATAAAACTAAAAATAAATACCATATAGATTTAATATTCTGTTAGTTTTACACACAGAACATAAGGTTTTACACGATTTAGCATCACACGACATTCTTTTATAGAAAAAAACACGTATTTATAAAAAACTGTACTATACTCTACATCAGAAAGTCCAACATGAATTCCAATGTTAAATTTGATATAAATTTATTGTAAATTAAGACCTTTATACACAAAACCAGGTACATGGGTACATTGTTTTCAGAAAGCGATAAACTGACAGTTGCATAACCTCAATTATTTCCACAATAATTATTAATAATTATTAATAAGTGGTAGGTAGTGGCGCCATCTCTTGTTATACCACTCTACTGTTTTGGACCGGTAGTACACCAGCGCCCTCTTATCTTAGGAAGATTCTTGTTTACATGAAGTTCGGGCTCCTTGTATAGGCTCCATGGCCGCGATGTTAAAAATTCATTAAAACATTCCATAACAGATGTCGCCACATGTGGTTTTAAACTTTTTTACAGTGGTGCCGCTTCGCTTATTAAATAACATACAAGTTCAGAATTAGAAAAACAGGACCTCTGTAACATTTAAAGCGAAAATTAGTGAAAACTATAAATTCCCCGAAATTCCCCACACTATTAAATTCCCCACACATTACCCGCAACAATGCTAAATTCCCCGCATTTTGGGGAATTCCCCGCACATTGGCAGCGCTGGTTCAATACCCGCGTGAAAAGAACAAGGATAGAACGTCAAATAGAATTTGATTGGCCAGAGCCGGATGCGTGCGAATTGTAAGCGAATTGTAAGCGAGGTCAACTCTGGCTAAACTCAAAAATTAAATTAAATGTTCGAACAAGCCCCCATAGGCAGTCAAACAATAGCCTAAACTATTATAAAAATTCCCACGCACATTAGCTAGGACTTCTGGACTAATATCCCCCAACAAATTAGTTATGCGGATTCCTAAATCATTGAGGTTATTAGCCCGATCTTACTACCTCTTGCTGGCACCACTGCTTTTCTCGTTCTGATATTCTCGTGTCAAGCACGCTGCGAGGTGCGCGAAGGGTATGCGTTGTCGTAGCCTGCCGGCTCTGGCCAATCAAATTCTATTTGGCGTTCTATCCTTGTTCTTTTCACGCGGGTATTGAACAGCCGTCCTTTCCAGTGCGGTCGGACTTGGATGGGCCAAAAAAAACTTTTAATTTTCTTTTCTTTAGCTACCATGAAAATATCGTCCAAGATGACGAAAAAAAAATTCTGATAAAGTTTCAGCTCTTAATATCAATATTAAGAGGTGGCTCATCGCGATTTTTTATTTTCCATTTAAATAACACGGGAAAAATACATTTTTTTGTTTGGAATTTTATTGCGTTTTAACGAATCAGTGAGTTGTAGAAATCAATACATATTCTTGTAGGGAATTGAACGATCTACAAAAAAGATCTCATATGATTTTTTGCATAGTCGACTCTTTTAAAAGTTATTTGAGGTTAAAGTTCAACTTCAAATAGTAAATGATGACTTTTATAGTTTTTCATACTCTTTCACGAAATATTGTCTCAAAAACATGAAATATCATATTTTTCGTGAAGTTTATCGAGTGTTCTTCGGTAAAACAATACAATTTTTACGAAATATCAATAACCGTAACGTTTTTTCCCTATATTTAATTTTTTTTTAATTCGAAATTTTTTCTTTACCTGAGACAAAAAAATTAATCATATATTATATCACGAGAACTATAAATTTAATCGGTTAAACTAGGCTCAGTAGTTTTTTGTTTGGTTTTTCTTGGAAAATGTTGAATGCAAAATAATTTAATAAAATCACGAGACCGCGTAGCGGTCGAGGGGTTTTATTTTTAATGGGGTTTTAATGGGGTTTTAATTTAAATTTTAAAAGAAAAATCAAATTAAAAACTTACTGAGCATAGTTTGACAGATTAAATTTATAGGTTAAGTGATATACGTCTAGATTATTTCCATTAATTTAAGGTATGTAATAAGTAATAATTGATATTTCGTAAACTAGATAACTTATTTTTTATTGTTTTTTAAAAAATGTTTGTTAAAACTTGTAAATAACACCATAAAATCGTAAACAAAAATCCAATATGGAGGCTAAAATTTAATCGCTGTTAAATAGTTCTAGTGATTTAATCGCTTATTTAAACGAAATTTATTTGAAAATTCAAGGCTTTTGATTGGTTCATATTATAATGAGGGAAATACTCATTAAAAAATAATAAATATTCTATTTACACTTGACTATTAGGTAATGTAGAGTAATAAAAGTCATGTTTCAATAATTTTTCAATAAAAATAAAAATGTTTATTTTAATTGATAAATTATTGAAACATGGCTTTTATTACCTAATAGTCAAGTGTAAATAAAATATTTATTATTTTTTGAGAAAATGATTAATTTTTTTTGTCCTTACTTATGTAAAAAAATCGATTTAAAAAAAAAATCAGGTACCTATAGAAAAAAACGTTTTTTCACGATTATTGATATTTCGTAAAAATTATATTGTTTTACCGAAGGACACTCGATAAATTTCACGAAAAATATGATTTTTCATATTTTTGAGCCAATATTTCCTAATAGAGTATGAAAAACTATAAAAGTCTTCATTTACTTTTTGAGGTTGAACTTTAACCTCAAATAACATTTAAACGAGTTGACTAAGCAAAAAATCATATCAGATCTTTTTTGTAGATCGTTCAATTCTCTACCAGAATGTGTATTGATTTTTACAACTTACTGATTCGTTAAAACGCAATAAAATTACAAACAAAAAAATGTTTTTTCCCGTGTTATTTAAATGGAAAATAAAAAATCGCGATAAGCCACCTCTTAATATTAATATTAAGAGCTCAAACTTTATCAGATTTTTTTTTCCGTCATCTTGGACGATATTTTCATGGTAACTAAAGAAAAAAAATTAAAAGTTTTTTTTGGCCCACCCTAATATATAGTATGTATTTATTTTTCAATTTCTTGTAAAATTCTAAGCATATTTCATATTACATACCATATACATAAATTCAACAGTTTCTGAAATATTTAAATTATTTTTAACATAATAAGTTGAAATAGTTTGTCTTTCTCTGTCTGAGTACGTCATTTTTACTTATTTAACAAGACATATTGACATAATATCACTATAGTAATTTATTTTCAATAAAAATTTTGGTATACTGAGGTTTCTTGATTTCTAACAGTTTAAAAAAACATTTAATGATAACATTTCGAGTGCGAATATTTCAGAAACAGTTGAATTTAGGTATATGGTTTGTTATATGAATTATGCTCAAAATTTTACAAGGAATCGAAAAATAAATTCAAATATAGGGTGATACATTGAAAAAAAAAATAAACTTTTTGTTTTTCCCTATACTGATCAATTTTCCAATTTTCTTTATAGGTAGAAAAAAAGTATTGTTTAGTTCCTACATAACCAAACTTAAATTTTTTGGGACACTTAAAATAAAAAAGTTAAAGGTGGCGACATTATAGGGGATCACCCTGTACAAGATGAAAATAATGAATTATATCATACAAGTTTTTGTATAAGTGATTATTTAAAACATAACTCTACTGTTGTTTACAATTTTATAAAGAACTTAATTTCATAAAATAAAAAAATAATATACACACATCAACACAGTCTAGGAATATTATAAATAATGCAGTATTACATATTATGTAATAATTATTATTGTTTCTAGTTTTTTTAATCTTGTGTATACCCAATAAAACTCTACTTTTCTAGTAAAAAAAACTTTTTTATTTTATATATTAACAGAAAAAAAAAGAACTGAAAGAATTCCCATAAACTAAACATTAAGAAATTTTCTTTTAAAATCAAAGTTATACAATAAATTGTAACTTAATAAGATGGATGACCACCCCGGGCATTAATAACAGCCCTGATTCTTCTGCCCATACTAAAACTTAAAAATATTAATTTCGTCCTGATAGCATTCCACTCCCTGTGAAGATTGTTTATCAGTTCTTCCCGGTTATTAAAAAAAGCATTTTTACGTAGAACTCTTCTTTGTAACATTTCCCACACATGCTCAATGGGATTGAGATCTGGGGATTGTGCAGGAAATGGTATTACGTCAATTGACTCATTTTCTAAAAAATTTAAAGTTATCCTACTAACGTGC